TCTTATTTGGATGAGTTAGAACAGCAAACAGTATAAGCTACTTCTATTCCATTCGCCAAAAAGCTAAAGACAAATGATTGTTCAAATTCAGCTACTTCTAAGAAAGAGGAATAAAAGCAAAAGTAATTCTGAGGGGCAATGGCTCATGAGTGAAAGCCACACACATAGTAAACAGAAAGCTGTCACTAATATACATTCACAGAGGCAGAGTGAGACGGACTGAAAGAACAGACACTGAAGAAGTGTTTTCTGCAAAGAAATATCAGGTTTGGGGCAAATCATTAAAAAAAAAAAGTGGGGAGGAGGAAGAAAAGAAAAAATGAGACAGGACTAGTCAAGTACAAACTTCACGCAAGAAAAAAAGGAAAATGTAAGTATAACAAGGCATGTGGAGAAATACATATAGTTCAGCATTTGTATATAATAGATCAGGGATGTATCAGTATTGTCAGGGATGTATATACTATGAGCGAAAGCCTCTGTTTTACCTTTTTATTATATATGTAAAAATATATAAATTATATATGAAAGTATATATATTCTTCTTCAGCAAGTTTTATAAAAATATCAAAATACATGATATATAAAACATATATATAAAACAAAGGCCTTTGTTCATAGTATATCCCCAATAATGCTGACTTGTATTACTCTACAACTGTTTGTTTGTAAATACCACTATAATAGTAAGAGTTAAATTTTGTCACTCTAAGTCACTCAGTTGAACGTGGTCTTCTCTCCCTACCTGAACGCTGCAAATTATTACTAGAGAGAGAGAGAAAAATAGATTTTAAAAGTTCCTAACACATCAGCTTTCCACCTAGAGAAAGAACTGGTGGTCAGGATTCTAAGGATAATATACAGCTTGAAAAGATATATTGAATAGAACATTAGAGGGGGCTAAAAGAAGGTTAAAAAGTTTTCATCTCAAATTCTAAGCTCACAGTTGGTGGACACTGAAAAACGGACTGTAACCTTTTCCTATTTCTCATATACTTCTTATCTATTTCCTTGGCATTTATGACATACTTCCCCTCGTAACAACTGAACTTTACAGCCTAAACAAAGGGAATAGAAATTTAAGTCGTATTTTTAGAATCTGAATAGATTTCACTATGACATAGTACGCATATTATATTACCTGTACCATCAAATAGATTTCATTATGATAGAGTGTGCATGTTATAGTACCTGTAGCATGATGCAGAATTCCATGTCTCTTCATGCATTCACATTCAAAAATAATAAAATGCTTCTTACATTTAAGACCTTATTCTCGGTGCTCCAGGAAATGCACAATTACGTTCCCTAATCTCTAGCGGTGTATGCTGATGCAGGGGCTATAAAATGAGTATGTAAATAACTATACTACAAAATATCTGAAACTTGAAGTTTTAGAATGGGACACGAGGACTGCACATACTTTTTAAAACTATAATACAAAAGAATTCTGAAGTAGGTTTTATCATATGGTTGTTATTAGGAGTCTACTTTGAGAGCTGGCTGTTATTTTAGGGAAAACATGTACTCTTCAATTAGATGAAGAGTTTTGAATATACTCGTAATGAGATAATTTAGAAAACACAGAGGAATCTCTTTATATCGTGGATTTTGAGAAACAGAATTTTAATTTCTAAACTTCTGTAATTTCAACTATTATTTTAGTCTTAATGCAGAACCAGAGATAGAAGTAAAGGGAAAAAAAATCCTCTTTCCTCACAACTCTCTGATACCAAAATAAAAAGTGTCCAAGGGGGAAAAAAAAAAGACACATGCCACGTTGTTTTGGAACTGAAAGGCCCCAGGAAGAGGCCATGATGATCACAGTAAGTAGCCGTGTGCACTGAAGATGTCCCTGAGGCACGAGTACTATACAAGTGCCGTCAGTGTGGTTTAAAAGTCAAAGAATCCTTATCCTTGGCCAAGCTTCACACTTCCTCT